CAGGTGCAGCAGTACTAGAGCTTAAGCTTTTAATTATTTTCTGTAATTTAAAATTCAGTAGCCATCATCTAAAAGCGCAGAGTCCTTTCAGAGGGAGGGATGCCTTAGGGAGAGGTTGATGCGGACCCTACTACCGCTTGCAGAGAGGGCCTGGCTCAGCGCATGTCCGTGTGGAGAGGCAGCCCCGACTATTGCACACCCTCTTGTGGCTTGTAGTAACAGTGGCTGTGCTGCAACATCCCCTGGATGGGGAGAAAGAGTCCAATTTGACAGGTACCCCCAGGAATGCAACCCTATTAAGATAGATTTGATATTGCGGTGTCGTCTAGTTGACCCCCTAAGAGGGATTGTGATCGTGTGCTGCTGTTGGGGGGGAGGGGGGTGGAAGATAAGTTTCTGTGTCTGCAAGCATGTGATGTCCATCCTGACCGCAATAAATTGTAATTTCAGATTAAGTGTGTTTTAGTTTGCTCTCGTCTGGAGTCAGCTTCCATTTGTACCCAGGCTGAAGACCCCAGTGGAGAATAAAGCCCAGCTCTGGGTTGATGTGGTTCCTGGTGGACACGTTGAAGGCAAAGCAAGGTCGGGAATGGTTGAGCAGATGCTGGGCCATGTCATTCAAGGACTAGATTGTAATTTGCCTTATTGGGAAAGCAGTTGTGCTACTGTCTTTTCCTGCACCAAATTACAGTGGCCGCGTTTGGTCTTTTCTTGGAAGTCTGGAGTCCCTGCGGTACGATGGGCTGTCCCTGGGGCTGCAGCTGTAGTCCCAGGGACTGTGTGTTGCACAGTGGCCGGTGGCTGCTGGGGACGGGACCTCTCCAAGCAAAGGGACTCGGTCTCTGTGCCAGCAGTGGATTTCCACACGCCCTCGAGCTGAGGAAAGCCAGGGCAGTCATCCTGCCCACCCGCTTCCCATGTGGTAGCTTATTTCTGTGCAGTCTCACTGCAGAGACCCATAGCACAGGGACAGGGAGGGCTAAGCATGCTGGCCAGGCTAGTTTTATCCAAAAATCCCGTGTCTTTTGGCTCCCTAGTCCATAGAAGGAATAACTGGGGGGGGGCAATGACTTCTGTTCCTGCACACCCTCTGTCATCCAGTTCTGCCCCAAGGCTTGCTGGGAGGCTGAGACTCACTGTGAACCTTATTATTTTGCAGCTCCTGACTTTTCTTTCAAATGATGCCAGCCAGCAATGTTCAAAGGCTTTTTGCCTCTTTTACCCTCCATGGACTGGGGTCCCTCCTTGCTTGCCTCCTCCTGGCTTTGTGCATTTCGTGGGTCCTGCTGCAGCTCTGGGTCACACAATGAGGTTCTGCTGCAGCTCCCACACCGCTCTCGCCATGGTTCTCCTGACAGCAGGAAAATCTGCTTTTGACCATTAAGAACCCCGATGATGCAGGCTTTTTATTCTCTTTCTTTGTCTCTGTGTCAGATGGAAGCTGTACCCCCGAGTGCTCAGGGACGTGTCAGTAATGGACCTGTCAACCTCAGTCTTGGGGCAGAGAATCAGCATGCCGGTCTGCGTTGGAGCGACCGCTATGCAGCGCATGGCTCACGCTGATGGAGAGACGGCTACTGCTAAAGGTAAACCGTGCAAAGTCCCCCCCGCAGTGAATTAGGGACAAACAGAGTAATACTGTGCCTGCTGGTTGTGAAGCCTGGCTTGGTTTCTTGCTCCTTATGCTGTGACCAGGATGGGTTTGAGTTGCTGCTCAGAGTAATTGGGTTTATTTTTGGTGGTGTTTTTTTATTGTTTTCCTTTGCCTGTTTTGTGTGCGGTTTCTCCCTTGCTATGAAACAGGGATGAGAAATGCAGTATGCAAGAGGGGAATCATTTGTAACAAATACAAAATTGAAAACTGCATCTATCTATATGTCTTCCTATACATTCTATAAATATAGCTTACATTCTATAAATATAGCTATATATATTGTCACGGCAACATTCTTCCTGTTACAGAACTGCTTCTAGAAATTCAGAAGCCTTTGCTTGTCTGGGAGAAATACTTGCTTTCAAGAGAGCTCTTTCAGAGCATCCCAGGGAGCCAGTGAGATAAGGGTCCCTCTGGGCTAGATGCTGCGCAAAGATGTTGCCAGCATGCCGGCTGCGAGAAACGGGACATTAACCAGAATTCGGATGCGAAATGGTTTCTTACTCCTTTAACCCCAGCTGCAGGGTGACACAAAATCTGAGAAAGAGGTCACACGGTGTGCCTGTTGCATACAAACGGCATCGGGCTGTGTGCTTCAGTGCTCCAGCACTGAATGAAAAAGGATACAAAACCTAAACAGGCAATATTTAAAAAAAAAAAAAAAAAAAATCCTATGCATGGTTGAGTTATTCATCTAACAGCGTTTCCAGGACCAATGCAGCAAATGCTAGCGTGAAGGCAGTCTAATTATCTGCTCTGCAGTGGGAGCTGGTCTCAATTCTCATTAAAAAGCTGCATCGCTGCGGTATGCACTGTGATGGGCTGCAGCGCAACTCCAGCAGCAACCTCTGCAACAGCATATTTCTCCGACTTTATAGTATGTTTGGGGATACATTTCCCCCCCCCCCTTCCCAAGAGATTTATTAGAAAGCCAGATTTTATTCCTATTGTATGTGCAGGCACGTTCCACACGATGGAGCTCGAATACCTTGAATTGGTTTGCGAAGCGGCGTCCGGTGGGAGGCCTTGGTGCTGTCCTGTCCTTTGGCAACTCTTGTGGATTATTTCTGGCCCAGGTTATGCTGGGAGGAAACTCTGAAGCGTTATACTGTTAAGTGCAAACATAGTAATGCAATGTTAAGAGCGAGATTCGAAACACACAAAATTCAGCATGTTCCTTAGCAAAAATTCCCACCGATGCTACAGCCTGGCCGCTTTTTAAGGCATAAATCTATAATGGCATGTAAAGTTGAGTGGTACGATAAGGCTGAGTACTAGGGCTGAGTTATGGTTGTGGTAGATAACTTAATTTGGGAATTTCCTGACTTTTGCACACTTACATTTTCAAACTTTAACATATGATTATTGCATTTAATGTTCTTGGGTTTTCAAGCTAGGAGAGCTTGGTATACTGGCAATGGTTTGAATGTGCGGTCAAATAAACATATTCATGGGAGTTGGTAAATTTTTCATCGCTTTCAAAGGAGAGCGTAATTAAAATCACACCCTCTGTATTGCATTAGTGTTTCTTGTAGGAAAAAATACAGCTTTGGTTTTGCTCTGTTAGAGGTGGAGTGGGGCATTCAGGGCCAAGCTTTTCGTTTGACCTTATAAGATGACAGGGATTAGCTGTAAAGTACACATTTGGCTTAAAGGTTCCCTTAAACTTGGGACATTCAGGATCAGGGGCTTTGCTACATCCAACTTCTCTTAAACTCCGTGATACTCTGAAATATAAGCGAGCAGGTTGTTGGTTGCTTTAAATCAGCTTTTGCTTCAGCTGCACCAATTTATGCAAGCCAGGAAAGTCTGATCCATAGTCTTGTGGCTTTCACAAAGCCTGGCATACTTCAGAAGCTTGACTTTTGGCTCAGGTCTGTAGAAAGCGACATACGTGGTGGTGCCTCTGCTGTTGTGACAATCCTTAACAGCACGTCGTGGTCTGAATTCTGCCCCTTCCCAGCCAGGGAAGCAGGTGTTGTGTGCCCCGGCTCGTGTCGGGGGGCATGGCAGCTGCCCAAAGGAGCACCCACAGTGTGCACGTGTGTGTGCCCGGGCACCGCTCAGCAGGTGCCACAAGCCACTTGTCTGCCTGGTTGGGGTTAAACCCCAAGAGATAATCTTGGGGTTCAGACCATCCTTACCTGCAGAGCAGGGTGGCGCAGGCAGCAATAACAACTCCTTCCCCTACCTTTTTGTATTTTAAGAACAATGCCTGATGCTGCCAAGGAATTCCCTTAAGCAACAGCATTTTG